AACAAAGTTGCCTATGATTTTAACCTAAAATAAACATTTTACACTGAAGATTTTGCCCATCACTACAACTTAAATGTAAAATGAACTTAAATATATGAACTTAAATCTGAAGTGAACTTAAATATAAAATTATATTACAAATGATCAGTCTAGAATCTCATACTATTATTCAGATTTTTAGAATCCACAACCAAACAGGAAAACATCCGGTTTTATCATAAAACATCACAAGAGGAAATAGTCATATGTATTTTTTTCCTGCATTTTCCTCACATCTCTTTCTCTGTATCTGCAGGCTTATCCCTAAAGATCAGTATTACTGCGGTGTGCTGTATTTCACCGGCAGTGATATATTCAACAAGAACATGAGGACTCACGCACTAGAGAAAGGCTTCACGCTCAATGAGTACACCATCCGTCCACTGGGCGTCACTGGTGAGACACACACAACCGCACACATTTACAGCACAGGACAGAAACTGTGTCCATCTGACAGTCTAGTGTGAGCTGTGTCTAAAGCCACACACACTTGTTCACTCATTCACTAATCTTAATCCGCTTGTTAAGTGGTGACGTATGAAATACTGTTTCCGGGTCCAAGCCACTGAATTGAAAAAATATTTGTTTATGACCACTTTTTAGTCCTATCACACATTAAAGTGAATTTTATATTAAATCATGGTGTACACAACAGTCTCTGGACTTGCTGCATCTCAGACACCAATATTTTAACAATTTATAAAAAATTCATCACTTTCTGGCCATTGGATAATAGGCATATATATATATATATATATATATATATATATATATATATATATATATATATATATATATATATATATATATATATATATATATATATATATATATATATATATATATATATGAGCAATATCACACAAGTAGCATTCGTGCGTTGGCACGAGGCCGCAGGCCGAGTGCCTTAGTGCCCCCACCAGTGCTGATATACAGCCATATTGCACTGCTACGAGTGTGATATACAACAGTTTGATGGCATAATTGTGTATATAAAAACAAAATCAAACATGGAGAGTCTTAAAAACCCTTTTGTATGAGGAACTACTTTCTTTCACGTTGGATACAAATCATAAGCTGACAGTTAAACAGTTGAGCAAGCATCTTTTAAACTTTAGATCTGCTTTTTGCTGGCTGTATGTGGGCGGAGTAATACACAAAGCGTAAAGAGGCTGTACGGGTGCTGATATTACTTAAATATATTACGGCTATCAGCCAATCAGATTCAAGAACCAGACAGAACTGTTGTGTATATATATATATATATCGCGCTCATGATTTTCAAAAGTATTGCAACGCTTTGAAAATATTTGATATAGCGCTTGGACCCGGAAGCCGCTTCGCGTGACGTCACATTTAACAAGCGGATATAGTGTAGTGCAGTTGAGTTACCTGGATTAGGAAAGAAAACAAAAATGAGTGTGTGAATTCAGACAGTGACATAGTGTGAGCCACAGACTGGTTCATCATGAACTTTACACACATATATATATAATGTTTTTTTTTTTTTTTCTTTTATAATTTTCTTATTATTTGGCAGTCCTTATTATTTGTTAACAAAGAACAAAAACACCTTCCTGTCATGTACTTTTTTGAATTAAAAACAAAACTCATTTCATATTTATATGCTTATAAAGCATGTACATATACAATATAGTGGGCAACACGGTGGCTAAGTAGTTAGCCCTGACAGCAAGAGGGTCGCTGGTATGAGTCCCAGCTAGGTCAGTTTGCTTGTTCTCCCCGTGTTGTTGCGGGTTTCCACCATGTGCTCGGTTTCCCCCACAGTCCAAACACATGGACTATAGGTGAATTGGGTAGTGAATGAGTGGGTATGGATGTTTTCCAGTACTGAGTTGCATCTGGAAGGGCATCCGCTGTGTAAAACGTATGCTGGAATTGTTGGCGGTTCATTCCTTGGTTGGGACCCCTGATAAATAAAGGGACTAAGCCGAGGGAAAATGAATGAATGAATGAATGAATGAATGAATGATTATACAATATAGTACACAAACATAATATAAAAAATGCTATAAGAAATAACCTACAACATATACCTGCACAAGTGTATGAACAAATAAAGATTCAGTTAATAATAACGGATAATTCAGTTTTTACGAGCTTTGAGATATGATGTTTTAATGGTGTTCACTGAAGAGTACAATCACAAAAATACATGATTGAAATGCACATTTGATCTGTTTTTGTTTGTTGTAATTTTCAGAGATCACATTTTAAGACTACAACTGAACAAAAAACGTGATTTCTAAAAAATACAATACAGCCTTTTTTTTTCTTCGTTAACTTATTATCTGTGGTTCAGGTGTGGCAGGAGAGCCTCTGCTGGTGGACAGTGAGAAGGACATCTTTGAGTACATCCAGTGGAAATACAGAGAGCCGAAGGACCGCAGCGAGTGAAACAAAAGCACATTAAAGAGCAGACTGTGTGTGTGTTGGTCGTTTAGCTCATAATAGTGTATTTTAATAGTAGAAAAGACATAAAGGGAGTGTCTGTGTTTGAGTTTTTAAACTCACTAAAGCAGCTACATGACTGCTGTTGATGGTGCTTTTTAGTCATAATAGTCATGTATATGATTTTGTTTTAAATACAAGAGTGAAGAAAGAATGTTGTGGTTTTGTCAATACTGTGCTTATAGATATCATATTGTCTCAGATAAAGCAGCAAACATGTCTTTCAGCATACTCCCATGCTAAAATATGAATGAGGATTGTGTGTTATTTAAAGTCTGTATGACCTATTATGATGATATTAAGATATTTTTTGTTGGCATAATAGTCTAGCCGTATTATGAGGATGCAGGATTTCTGTTTAAACATTTGGATCCTCCATTAAAAATACTAAATATCAGTTTTATTTTCTGCGTTTTTTCAAAATGAATCTGAATATTGTACTGTTTTATTATGATATATTGAAGAGAACAGTCTGTCTCATATTGAATAGTATAGATCAGTGGTTCTCAAACTGTGGTAAAACTAGTGGTACGCGGGCTGCTTTCTAGTGGTACGCAAAGTAATCCAATATGTCATATGTACATGCAACATATGTTTCAATGTTTAAAAAATGGTTCATATATGAATATGATGACATATAGTTAGGCCCACACGAAATCTGCTCACGCAGAATTACGCAGATTTTTAGCCCATTATTAAATCTGTTTATTTACTTGAGTAAATCTGAATTTATTCAGTTTTTATTCAGTAATTTATTACTTTTTATTTAATATATTAAGGTTTTAGTTATGATACTCCACTGGATACTCCCAAAATAATTCCGCAGAAATCCGCAGATTTTTACCAAAATTCTCAGCAGAAATAGCAAAAAATGTCTGCAGATTCCGTCTGGCCCTGCATATAGCCTATATTTATGAGGTCCAAGCAGCATTTCCAGGCTTTGATGAATAGGATGCTACAGGTTAACACTTAACACATTTAAGTACAGGAGATTTTTTTTCATTTTTTAACTTTTAAAAGCACATTTTAATTTAAATGTTGCCATGTTATTTTGTTTGTTTGGTTTTTTACATAAAAAAACCCCCAGCAGTGTTAATGTTCAAACGATTTATAAGGTTTAAATAATAAATTTTATTAATAATAGTAATTAATCTCCCACGTTTTTAAACTCTGCAGAGTTGTAGCTGCTTGATTAGGCCTACTACACTACTGTATTTCATGACTGGTCATATGGTGGTACTTGGAGGGACAATTTTTTTAGAGGTGGTACTTGATGTAAAAAGTTTGAGAACCACTGGCATAGATAATATGTTACTGCTAGATATGAGCAATCGCTGCAATGCCTTGAACAACTAAACATGAATGAGAGCAGATCCTTAATATAATCAATTATAAAAAAAACACATCTATTTTTATGTTTAAGTTGTATATGCAGAAACACACACTTGTGTTTAAGCTAAGCATAAAAATCCAAATTTCAAACTGTACTTCAACTGTAAGAGCACACAAAACATTCTCAAAATTCTCACATGTGCAATGCAGTTTGTCATGTTTCTCCAACTTTTTCCTGCTTCTAGTTCTTCTGAAAATAGTTTAAAGGTGATTCATGTTCTGTTGTATTTCAAGCACATTATAGGTTTTTACAAGTGAGTGGGTGTGTGTATGTGAGAGAGAAAGAGATCTTACATTTAGCTTTCTAATGTAATTGTAAAAAGCGAATACATTTTTAAATTTATTTATTTACTTGACCACAGCCTTTTTATTCATTATTTTACCGCAACGCTTCTCTTTTCATCTATTTTAATGATTATTATTATTATTGTGTCTCCGTTTGGCACACAGCTATTGAGGTCCAGCGGTTAGCATGTTAGGTTAAGACGCTGCGGACCCGGGTTCGATCCTCATTAGAGTAACTTATTGTTTTCGTTTTTATTGTTAAGACATATAATACTGTTAGGGTTGTTGAACATTTGAAGTTCTAAAGCAAAAAAATACGTGATAGTGTCATTAGAAACTGAATTGGAAATGACCTTATTTTAATATAGTCAGTCGTGAACTGAGGTGGGCCGGTCTGAAGCTTGAAACTCCAGGGCTGAAAAGGTGTCCCACTCCGGCCCTGCCTGTGCATTTGTGAGTTTGTGATGTATTTTTCATAGAATTTAAATGTATTTTACTAAGTTGAAAAATAACACTGATTTTCTTAGTTTGATTTTTGTACAGAGAAAACATCCTAATCAATTGAAAAACTACTCAAAAAAACATTGCCCCACTCTGAGACTGAGAGGTGAATCACATCAAAGTCAGCTCTGAATTTTATACGGTGGCGTATATCAACCGCATGGGGGTATTCGCTCTAGCCGCATGTCTCAGCTCGCCCACCGTCTGCTCCTCTGGAGTCATACATGGCTGAAATTGCTGCGGGCCATTCACATTCCAGGCAAGCTCAACCGTGCAATCGACATGCTCTCACGGCAGCCTTTACGTCCAGGAGTGATGCCAGAGCTGGGGCTGGATTGTAATAAAGAGAAAAACCGGTGGAGTGAGTTACGCATCAACATTAATTTCTTTTAGAATTTACACATCTACACAGACACTGTTGGTATCATAAACATTTAGCTCTAAAGAAGGTAAGATTGTGTATATTTTACTTGTATATTATCTCATGCTCTCTATAGGTTCTGTTTTTATCAGAGGGGAAATTAAAATAGACATCTGTTATTGAAGTACAAAGATGATTTAACTTGTATAAATGAAGCCTCCACCATCAAAGTGCAATTCATGCTATGTATGTCGGTAAAAAAATATCTGCTCATATCTGCTCATAACTTCATCCAAATGTTTATAATTTTAACTAAATAAGAGGAATCTTTAAAACTCCATGTTATTTTACAGTATAAGTACTAGTCAGAGAAAGTTTTCACATTACAGATGTTTATAAATATACTTCACGAAATAATCTGATTTGACAAAAAACGGCCCATGCAAAAATGTGCACACTGTTGTTAAATGGATATTCCATTTCTGTTTTGGAAAGGTCAATAGTGAGTCTTGTTTGTCATGAATGGTTAAACTATCTTGAACTATTCTTGCACACACTGTTTTTAATTGTATTTATTATTTTTGAACCACACTAAAGAAAACTGAACTATTCCTATTACAAAAGGATAGACATTCACTGATACTCAAGAATGAAATACATGTAAACTTTTGATTGTCTTTTTTCCATTTAGTTCTGCTCTTTAAGCTGTTTAAATATTTCTCAGATGACAACATAACATTTACGCTAAACATACATTTCTAAGAGTTTACAAATCCTGGCTCTTAAAGGGACAGTTCATCCGTAAATACAAAAGAATATTCATATATGAAACTTACAGGGGATGTAAGTTTTTGAACAGGATGACAAATTGTATTTACGCCAAACATCCATTTCAAAAGGTTTACGCACTCTGCCTCTTAATGGGACAAAATATTGATTCTGTTATTAATTACTAAAGTCAGATATTCTGGTGTGCGTTTCCCAAAACCATCGTTAGCCAACTAAGGTCGCAAGTTCTGTCGTTACAAACATAGTTTGTTGATTCGCCATTTCTTAAATCCGTCGCTTCAACGAACATTCGCAAACTGCGTCACAAACTTGAGAAATCGCAACTACACCTCTGGAGCTGTAGTTCGAAACATAGTTCCTGCCTGTGTTCTATTCCCACTTATCCCCCCTATGCCCTATTCATTTAGAGTATTCTAACATTCAAAGTTGGAATTATTAAAACTAAAAAAGCATTAAGGTCATCTCTCTTAGGTGTAATTTGCTCTCAAACTATTTTTACAGTTCAGTTTTAGAGATCTTCATGTTTACAGTTGTGCTCCCTTTACAGTGCACTTTGAAAACATTGATGTCATTTTGAACACAGCCTCATGGCGAAAGCTAAAGCAGGTCGCACACCACAAAAACCATACGTTAATTCTTTTAATTTATAGTGGGTTATTTATTAAATATCTGTACTGTATATGACATGGGCCTGCTGGTTACATTTCTACAGTGGTTTACATGTGTCACATCGTAAAAACAGACTTTAAAAAAATAAAAATAAAGAAATAGACAACGTCCTAATTAATAATAATAATAATAATTATTATTATTATTACTATTGTTTTTATTATTATCATCATTAATATTATTAATAATATTATTAAAGAATGTTTTTTCATTTCTAATAAATAATAAATATTACATTTCATTTCTTAATAAATAGCCTCATTATTTATTTACTTATATGAATATGTGTTAGCTTTTGTAAGTGATTTAATGTTTTAGAATAGAATATTTCATGTTCAACTTCTCAATAATATTAGTAAAGCAAACATATATCTGCCATTTACATATATTTCAGTTAATATGGAAAGCGAGTACACGTTTTTACCAAATCTAATATTGGATTATATTTTAAATGTGTGTGCATGTAAAAAATTGTAATTTGCACAAAGAAATAATGGGGTTCTTCTCTAAGGAAGTAGTTACTCCACCCCGTTTAGAGCATCATTATGGGCGTTTTACGTTATAACTAACGTGGTTCAAGCGATGGATCTGCGATAGAGATTTAAAAGCTACTTAAATGTTTCCCAGATGACAAAAATTACATTTAAGCCAGACATCCATTTACAAACGTTCACGCACTCTGCCTCCTAAAGGGACAGTTCATCCAATAATATTGGTTCTGTCATCAATTACTAAAGTCAGATATTCTGCTTTGAAAATGTGCTTACACAATGCCAGTTTAGCCAATTATATTTCAGCACCCCGGGTTGCCTTTGTGGTAAACTGCGTATTTCATTTATTCAGTCAGAAAGGCTCTCAAAGTGTGTGTACAGGACTGAAATGTGACCTCTGGTGGACACTAACAGACTCTGAAATGAGACGCAGATTCAGAGTTCCACATGAGGCAGTTATTAATTAGCAAATAATATAAATATTACGAACGTAAACATTAGGGAAGCTGGTTGCATTGTAACCCCGTGTCCTAACAACACACATGACAAGATATGCAGTGATAAGTAATTTGGTTGTTTGCACCAGACGAAAACGACATTTAAATACAGCCATTCAGAAGCACAGAATAGTGCACTCACTGCACTCCAATGAAATGGTAACGTTCATATATGAAACATAACACAGGGGGTGTAAGTTTTTAAACAGGATTCTTTCCCTTATTTTCCAGTTAATTCTCCCCTTTAAAAGCTACTGAAATGTTTCCCAGATGACAAATTACATTTACGCCAGACATCCATTTCAAAAGGTTTACACACTCTGCTTATTAAAGGGACAGTTCATCCAAAATTGTTGATTCTGTCATCCATTACTGATCATCAAGTGATTCCAAACTTTTGAGTTTGAGTGCTAAATAGTTGTTGGATGATTGTAAAAATCTGACCTGTTCAATCTGAATTCCTTAATGGTTTTTCTTGCAGCTACGGAGCAAACATGTCGATCTTACCTATTGAAGTCAAATATGTAAGGGGTATGAGTGATGAGATGCAGCAGGACGCTCTACAGTGCGTCATTATGGCTCAGAGCATGTGCACAGAAAACAATGACACTGCAGCATATATTGCGAAGGTGAAGAGTTGTTCACTAATTTTCAGAGTAAATGAAAAGTCTTTATCAGTATTTGTTCAGAATCTTTGTCAGGAACCTTTGTTGTGTTTAGTGATTAACTTTAATACTGCATCCTTCATCGTAGGAATTTAACGAAAAGCATAAACCTACCTGGAGCTGCATTGTGGGAAACTTCGGTTGCTCCCTTTTACCGACGACTCATCATGTCTGCTTCACTGTTGGCGAGAAATTATATTTTCTCTTCAAGGCTGCATGAATGTCAGATTTACACAAACTAAATCTGAATGATAATATGAACAATTGAACAATTATATATACAGTTGAAATAAACATTATTTGCCCTCCTGTGAAATTGTTATTCTTTTTCAAATATTTGCCATGTGTTATTTTACGGAGCAAGGAGATTTACACAGTATGTCTTATAATATTTTTTTTTCTTCTGGAGAAAGTGCTTCCTTTAGTTTAGCTGGAATAAAAGCAGATTTTACTTTATATATATATATATATATATATATATATATATATATATATATATATATATATATATATATATATATATATATATATATAAATAATTTTTAAGCTTAATATTATTAGCCTCCTTTATTTTTTTACAGTACAAACTAATGTTATACAATAACTTGCCTAATTAACTAAACTTACCTAGTTAACATAATTATCCTAGTTATGCCATCAAATGGCACTAAATACTAGTATCTAGCAAAATTCAGAGTAAAATATTGTTTATTGTCATCTTGGCAAAGACAAAATAATTCAGTTATTAAAAATTAGTTTTTAAAACTGTTGTTTAAAAATGTGTTAAAGTTCACATTCATTCATTTTCTTTTTGGCTTAGTCCCTTTATTAATCTAGGGTCGCCACAGCGGAATGAACCGCCAACTTATCCAGCATATGCTTTACACAGTGGACTTGTGGGGGAAACTGGAGCACCCGGAGGAAACCCACACCAACGCGGAGAGAACATGCAAACTCCACAGAGAAATGCCAACTGACCCAGCCGAGGCTCGAACCAGTGACCTTCTTGCTGTGAGGCAATCGTGCTTCCCACTGCGCCGCCGTGACGGCCAAAAATGTTCTCAAAAATATTAAATCATTTTTGCATATTAAAATAAATCGAATTTCACAGGAGGGCTGATAATTTTGACTACAACTGCATTAATAAAACAAATAAAATATAATCACAAATAAAACTTGCTGTGGGCTTATTACAAACTTAAATTAACCACTTTAATGTCCAATGGCGAGTTGATTTTTATTTTTTATTTTTGCTTGAAAAAAAGAAAAAAAAAATGGTCAACTTATGTGTCATGATAACTTTTTTTATGTGCAATCAATTCTGCTTCAGGAAATGTTCAGCTTAAGTTAGAACGTAGCAAACAAAAAACAAAAAAAACGAGTCTTACTTCGGTTTTCCAGAATAATTGTCTTGTGTTTGAGATCCTGTTAATCGCGTGGTTTCAAATGTATGAGTGAACAAATCTCGTTCTGCCTGTTCTGAAAAATCACACAAATATATTTTGAGCTTCAGTCCACAACATTAACTTTAATTTGAACATATTTAGACGATGCACAACTGCAATAAATTGATTGCTTCACAATTGCCTGTAGTTTTTTTAATGTTTTGTGTTTGCAGAATAGTGTTGTCAAAGGTTTAACTTCGATACGATACCAAGATTAACTATAACACAATACAGATGCAACTACAGCATTTCTTTTCTTTTAAAAAATTATTTATTAATAAGGATTCAGGGTTTGATGTCAGTAGTAGAACCATTTTTTAAAAAGTAAAACAAATACAGAACTAAAAAGTAATTTTGTCAACAAATTTTGTTTAAAAATACAATACACTATATAGACAAAAGTCACTTTTTTGATATGGTTCTCAGAGAACCTGTAGAGGTTGCTTGGTCCTTACTGTTCATGACACAGTGATCCTGACATATTCATATATAATTAATAACATATTTATATATTAATATATGGGGGGTGCAGTGGCGCAGAGGGTATCGTTGTCGCCTCACAGCAAGAAGGTCGCTGGTTCGAGCCTCAAAACTCCTGTGTGGAGTTTGCATGTTCTCCCTGTGTTCACGTGGGTGTCCTCCAGGTGCTCCGTTTCCCCCCCCAGTCCGAACACATGCGCTATATGTGAATTGGGTAAGCTAAAATGTCAGTTGTGAGTGAGTGAGTGAGTGAGTGAGTGAGTGAGTGAATGGGAATGTATGGGTGTTTCCCAGTGATGGGTAAAACATGTGCTGGGTAAGTTGTCGGTTAATTCCACTGTGGTGACCCCAGATCAATAAAGGGACTAAGCCGAAAAGAAAATAAATGAATGAATGAATATTGATATATGGGTGGATGATGTGACATGCATTTTAGCTGTCGCTGATGTCAAACAATCTTTCGTTCACTCCCAAGGAATTTTCTCTTGTTTTCTCTGCAATTAATTCTAATATTGTTTCCTTATTTAGAGGTGTAACTTGGATTCATAAGCCCATAATCAAACTAGTTGATACAGTGTGTGGTAAAATTTGTTTCTCACAGTCTAAAAATAACAAATCTATTCGCTCTCTATTTGTAAATCAAGTTGTATCTAAACCTTGCTCTATTACCTATTGGAATAATTTTGTAAGAATTCCTAAATGGGAAAGTATTTGGTCATTGCCTCACAAATTTTTGGTTACAAATAAGATAAAAGAAATATCTTTTAAACTAATTCATAATTTCTATCCAGTTAAACATTTCCTAAGTAAATTTAAAAAGGATATTGATATAAATTGCTCTTTTTGTTCTTTGCATTTGGAAACTGTACCCCACCTTTTCTGGCACTGTGGTTATGTTAAAAAAACTCTGGTATGATGCTTCTGTTTTTATAAAGAAAAGGGTTCTCTTTAACTTTAATTTGCATTATGAAACTGTAATTTTTGGGTATTTTAATTATGATAATTTGAATAATGAAGCTTTTGTTATTAACCTATTTATTTTGCTAATTAGGTTTCATATTCATAAGTGTACATTTTCCAACAAAAAACCTTGTTTTACTGTGTTTTATAAGGAACTGAAAAATTACTTTTGCACTATTCAGCATAGTGCTAATCGAAAGGCCATTAAAACTGTCCAACTGTGCTCTAGTTTCAAAATATTTGATTAATGTAAAGGTCCTGCTTGTTTATATTTGTAAGAATTTTTAGTTAAGTATTTATACTCTTATTTTTATGTTTGTTTTATTTTATTTTATGTATTGATGTTATCATTTATTTTCTATCACCCTGGCATTGTTTTGTTTGCTGTATTGTCATGTATATGTTGTTTAAAGCATAATAAAAAAATAAATAAATAAAAATAAATAAATAAATAAATAAAAATTTTTTTTTAAAAACAATCTTTCGTTCATTCATTTTCTTTTCAGCTTAGTCCCTTTATTAATCAGTGGTCGCCACAGCTGAATGAACCATCAACTTATCCAGCATATGTTTTACACAGTAAATGCCCTTCCAGCCACAACCCAACACTGGGAAACACTCACTCACATATATGGCAAATTCAGCTTATCCAATTCACCTATAGCGTATGTGTTTGTACTGTGCGGGAAGCCGGAGCACCCGGTGGAAACCAACACCAACACGACAAGAAAATGCAATTCCCGTGTGTACAATGCCCGTGTGACGAAGCTGGGACTCGAACTAGTGACCTTCTTGCTGTGAGGCAATCGTGCTACCCACTGCGCCACCATGACACCTAATGTCATACAGTATTAATACAATAGTCTTGTTTTTGTTAAGATTTACCTTTATGTTGTTCTTCTGAGACGGTGGTTCTTAATTCCAGTCCTCACACATTTTGTATGTCCTCCTTACTTGACAGACCTGATTCAGATCATCAGCTCGTCAACAGAGAGATCCATGAGCTGATCATTGTGTGTCAAGTAAGGGAGATGTACAAAATGAGCTAGAGGTCTGAAACTGAGAACATCTGCAGAGGATATGCAGAGCTGACAATATTGTGTTAATTTTTTGTGTTATAAATTCTTCCAATGTCTGTTCCTAATGTCCCACATGCTCTAGTTCTTTAATTCAGTAGAGAGTGCGGAAATAAGGGACCGAATAAGTAAAGGAATGTTGTCAGGTGTGATGTCAGAGGGCTGGTTTGTGATGTCGTGATGAACCGGTGGAGTTACATTACACTATCTACAAACGCAGGTGAAACACGGTGTTACAGAAACTGAGTGAATCTACAGGTAAGAGCATGTTTTATTAATTTATATATACATGCACACACTCAACATTCTAGGGTCAATAAGAAATGTAAAATGAAAAGCATCTTTCTTGTTACCATGGACTTCTGTTTAAAATAAATGCTAATCTGTTGAACTTTATTTATCAAATGATCTGGAAAATAATATATGATAGTTTCATCAATAATATAAAGCAGCACAACTGATGTTAACACTGATATTAATCAAAAAAGTTCTGGAAGATTTTGTTGATGGTGTCCAAGGGGTCTTAAAAGTCTTTAAATGTCTTAAATTTCAAAATCTAAATTTCAGGCCTTGAAAAGTCTTAAATTCACTGAAATATTGTTTTGTAGGTCTTAAATACTTTAATAAGGTCTTTATTTTCTTATGTCCATATTTACACTTTTCCTGTCCCATCCAATCACAATCCATCTTAATAAAACATTTAACAAAACTCTACCTGTAACTCTATTAACTGATATGGTTAAATAACAATACAATACCATTTGTTCTCCATATATATAGGCCATATATGCTGAGGACACTGATCTGGGCAGATGGTTGTGCATATATTTAGTTTAGATTATAGTTTTTAAAACTTTTCAAAACTTTTTTAAAAGAGAAATGTGTATGTGTATACAATAGAGTTTGCTTACTTTGGCACAATGTGTAAAATATGTGGCTATATTATATATATATATATATATAATATTATTTATTATTATTATTTTATTTATTTTTTGATGGGGTAAGTAAAAATATTTTCCACTGGAAAACCAGGCCAATACACTCTCAGAAATAAAAGGTATGATGCAAGCTGTCACTGGGATGGTACCTTTTCAAAATGTAGACATTTGGACTTAAAGGGTCCATATTTGTACCTCAAATGTATATATTATCACCTTCAAATTTTGAGATTTGATAATCAATTTAATAATACGGTACTATTATGGACCTTTTAGGTAAAAATTTGTAGCTTTTAAAAGGGTACCACCCCAGTGACAGCTCACTTACCTTTATTTCTAATAGTGTAGATTAGAAAATATCCTAAGCATTTAGCCCTGTCTGAAAGTCTAAAATGTATTCAAAATGGTCTTAAAAAATCTTTAAAAGTCTTAAATTTGACTCCAGATTTTGTCCTGTCTCATACTTGCTCATTAATACAGAATATTTTCTTATGAATGCAGAAAGATTAATGGCATCGATTCAGGTACACCTTTCAACGATGAGTGACGAGATGCAGCGGGAAGCTCTACAGTGCGCTCTTCTGGCTGTCAATATGTATAACAATGGCAAAGACATTTGTAATTACATCTATCAGGTGAAAAGAGTTTTACAGAGAATCTCCCCTGAAAAAAGGTTCAGTGGAGCTTAACACTATATAGCTGCGTCCCAAATCGCATACTTATGCACTATTCTACGTCATTTTGTAGTATAAATAGTGTAAGTAGTGCGTTCACACTGAAAACTCTAAAAATAATAAGTGCACTTCAATTACCCGGATGATGCACTCATTCAGCCGCTAAAATGAAGTGTGTAATGATGGACACTTCACGCACTCAACGACCGCAGGTTTGCTTACGTAGCGGAAGGGGCGGAGCATCGGACGCACATGTTGAATAACTTTATTTAATTTGGAAGGTGAAAGCAAAATTCTTTTACGAGAGTGATTATAGTGCCTCCCGATAGTGATTGCGGCAACACTCACTGCAGGTATTATTTGATAATTCGGCCGTTTACTTCAATGATTTGGCAACCGTCAAACGTCATCAGGGAAACGGTTTGAATTTCCGCTTAGTAAAAAAACATTAGTGTGCCATTTGGGACGCCACTACATACATATACTACCCTGTTGAGTGTGTAAGTGCATAAGTACATAGTGCATGAGTGCATAGTGTAGAGTGTGCCATTTGGGACGCAGCTAATGTCTTTTTTTTTTTTTTTTTTTTTTTTTTTTTTTTTTTATTAACAAGAACCAGCATGTACAGTTTTAGTTGTTTTGTTATACAATACAATCACTTTACATTTCTTAACAAGAATGAAATAAATGAAAAAAACAAAGAAGAGGGGAAAAAAAGAAAAAAAAAAAGAAAACAAAACAGAGGAGAGGGTACATAATTATCAAATTACATACAAATATGTTTCGCACATTTTATAATTTTAGTTATTTACAAGAGTTAGTAATGCACTTTTTTTTTCACAGGAAATGCATATATACAAACATTTTATGTAAAAATGTTAAAGGAGGAGCATATATTAATTGTTTTAATTGCTTTTCTATTTTGAGACTTGGAAATCACTTTTATATACATTTGAATCTCTTTTTCTAACTAATGTCTTTCCTATAGGAATTTCAAAGAAAACATGGGAGCACCTGGCACTGCATTGTGGGAAATACTGAGAGTTACTTAGTGGGATCCGAAGATGACTTTTTTATTGACTTCTCTGTTGGCAACAGGAAGATAGTGCTTTTCCACACAGCCTAGCAACAGCAACAATTCAAACATATTTTATTAAAGCAACTAATAAAATGTATAAATTTATAAACTTAGAAAAAACTTTTTTCATTTTACCAATATTTCAAATAAACATGAACATTTACCGGGCTGAAGCTATACTGTGGTTAATGTCATTGTTTCTCAACGTTCCTGGAGGACCACCATCTCTGCACATTTTCTCCTAAGTGAAGTTTATTCATAAACTAATTTCGAGAGGATCGCGTGCTTATGATTTATCACGTCCAGTCTCGCATTTGCTAATCACTAATCTTCCAATCATATGAGCCCTAAGGCACCATAAATAGTCTAAGTTTTCAGTTCACTTTATCTTCGTTTGGAAGAAACCCCCCTCCTCCCCTATTCTCCTCCTTTACCTGTAATTGGGCGGCACGGCGGTCCAGTGGTTAGCACTGTGAACCACACAGCAAGAATACTGCCGGTCCTAGTTCGATAGGACCGGTGAGTGTTTCTGTGGGGAGTTTGTATGTCCTTCCCGTGTCCGCGTGGGTTTTCCCCGGGCTCTCCGGTTTCCTCCCACCATCCAAAGACATTCAACATACTTAACAATCAAGCTGGTCTAATTCCTTACGTTCCCTTAGCTACAGCGGCAGGGGAGTTCTGAGATCCACCGAGCTCGGGCTCCCTTCTTGCTCTGCCAACGGGAGGAAGCCCCGGGCTCGAGGAGCCCTTGAGCTCGGGGCTCTCTCCCGGGACAGCATGCCAAATAAGCTTTGTAAATCATCAGCTAAGTGTGAACTCTTGAAACCAAACACACCTGTTTCAGAAAATCAGCTCATTAGAGACTGAAAAGACATCCAAACAATGAAGTGTTAGTGATCCTCCAGGAACGTGGTTGACAAACACTGGTTTATTTGATAATTTGTGAATCCTAATTTAAAAAATGAATCACATTTACACCCTGCTGCATCAAATTGCACAATTTTGCTCAGTTTCAGGCTCACAGTAAGATCTTATTGTCCATAATATTCACTGTATCGAATGACCCATGACAATAAGATAAACCAGTAAAAATCATGCTATTATTACGGGTTTACAGGGTTAAATGTCAAACTATAGCTATATTAGCGCTGTCACCTTGCATGGAACAAGGGTTTTAATTGGAAAGAGAATAGGCATGTGCTTGTGCCAGTATAAGATTCTGACAGTATGATAACCTTGGATAAAAATATCACAGTTTTATGGTATCATATTGTAATTACTACTTTAAAATAAGTTCTTTATAAATGTCTGGGTAAAAGCAACAACTTTTTAACAATTTTGAACAAAATACCAATAGTATCTGGATATGATGCATGCTAGGATTGCATCACTCAGCGATGCAATTTCAGACACAATGCACTCAATGGTCCTGTTGGGTTTTTTTCAATACTCCTGATAATAAAAGTAAGGAATATTTCATTATACATTTCCTTTTAATCCTTGCTAAATTCCATATACACAGCTGTAAATCCTTTCAACGCGTACCCTGTTTTATTGTCTTTGTAAAGGAAATTCAACAGGACATTAGAACTGTTAATTTGTTCCCCTTCTTAATTTTCTTAACACATGATTTTATATTATTATTTATTTCTCCCTTGTATGTGCTTATTTAATGCTTTACTTATCTGTAAAACTCATGTACACTCTTTGTAACAAATTCGAATGATGTTGTTATTATTACCCTGACATTAATTAAAAAAAATGCACTCAATGGGGTGAGTGAAGTCACTGTGATGGGTAGGGTTAGGGATGGGGTTAGGTGAGCACGTTAAAAAGCATTGGATGCAGCTCAGATTGCACTGCACCAGGTCTTCATCCACACCCCTCCTCTCCAAATTTACTGCACTGTTCAGGTCTATTGCATGCTTGGATGTTGGTGTATAAGCAATTTTCAGATGTATGCTTAATTGTGGGCTGCCCAGAAGTGTCCTTTTCTGCTGGAGATACTAAATAAAATGCTCTGACAACATGTACATTTTTTTATTTACATATACCTTAGGAACAGTATAAAAGGAAATATTAGCAGTCTTAAAAATGTTCTAATTTTTGTGCTACAAATGTGTGTAACTTCACATATTTAATGGAAAACTGCTTAATTTGCTTGTTTGAAACAACATTTGAAGAGTTTAGATGCAAACATCTCTGAATGCTGTCTGACATTTTTCTCTAAAATGAGCAGTTTTATCAGGCTTTTGTGTGTGTATGTTTAATAATATCACAATATCAAAAAATAAGTCCTTGGTCTTTAAAGTGAAATATCTCAACATAAACAAAGGAGGCTGAGAAACATGTTAATTTTTGGTGGAAATTTCAGACGGTACTGAGAGGTTTTTGCATTTGTACTCTTCATTTCATAAATTGCAATATTTAAGGTAACGTTAATGTGCTTTATGCACAGCTAGAGTTTTAAAGCCAACAATAAACTTCCGGTGAAAGCTTAATGTGACTATTTTCAATTTCACAAGGTGGATTTTACAGCATTGATGTTGTAATGTAATTAAAATACATTCAGTTAAATAGACTTAAGCATTAATTTAGTTGTTCAAGTGTAAAACGAGATGAAAGACCATTGTGACAACTAGCACCTTCAGTAGCAACAGACTCACAATCTTACTGCATTTCGTAGCTTTTTTTTATTTAGTGGCTAATTCGTACAAATTCGTACAAACTAATTTGTACATTTTAGTACGATTTGCTCATCCCCCAATGACGGTTGGGTGGGTTGGGTTAGGTGCCACGCCACCTTTCTAAAATCGTACAATTTCGTACGACTGAACTCGTACGAATTAGCCACTAAACTGCCAAAACGTAAAATACTTACGTTTTCTCGTGAGATCAGGCTGGACTAAAGCAGAAATTCCATTGAAAATACTGGAGTACAATTAACTGTCATATTTTAAAGACATGACAGGGGAAAATGTAATTAAATGCAGTGTTTATTGTAAAATCTGAGACCTACTTCCTATCGTAAATTTTTAAAGAAAGCAGATCTTAAACATGACAATTTTGTAATGGAAAGACAGTTTACGGGAAGCCCTTAGGCTGTCTGGCTGAAAATTAAAAGCCTGTGTGCATACAATCCCAGTCAACAAGGGAAGTGTGGTGATTGATGGTTATTTTATTACCCTACTCACATACAATGTCTTGAATTGTTGTAAATTTGTCTGCTGCAAAAGACCTATAAGCTATACCTGTTCAAATGTTTGACATGCATGTTTTATTAATCAAAATATTCTAAAACTTTCTCTTCTCGGTTACGTTTTCAAACGCCCACCCTTTTTCTGGGTTGTTGCAAGATCAGACACAGCTGCGGCCGGAAATTAACGAGAATTATTGATAGTATTTATTAAATTTCCCATTACTTGTTAATTTATTAACGTCTACCCCAACCCTAAACCCAACTGCCATAGTAATGTAAAAACAGTAGTTTTACCGAGTATTATTTATGCTATTTATTAAATTACCCAACAAACTGTATTTTTTAATGTCTACCCCAACCCTAAACCCAACCATCACAATACTGTAAAAATATTAATTATTATTATACAGTGTCACAACAATGATGCTATATTGGTGTGTGTATCTCTTATACACTTTACCCATTTTCTATTTTAAGGGTTGCATTGATCACACTTTATCAAAAGCTGTTTTTTTCAATTTTTTTCAAAGTTTTTTCTTTTGCATTGATTCACAGATTTAGCAGAACTACATGTCTTATTCATTCTGACAGTTTTTTTGGTTGTTTTTTTTTACAGAGTGATGTGTAATCTGTTTTCAGGCATGTGTTTCATATACAACCTTTAAATGTACAACAAATTATAAAAATCCTTTATTTTCTGCATATGTTCAGAGAATTTTCTGAATTGGAGTGATAAAAGAGATTCCCAACATCCCATCTGTGACTGTAATACGTCAAAAATATTTAAAATAAGATAAAATGAAACAAGAATTTTGAACTTTGAACATGTGTAACTTATCACATATTTAATGAAAAAAATGCTTCTTTTGTTTATTTAAACAACGTTTAAAGAGTTTAGATGCAAAAACCTCTAAATGCTGTCTGACATTTTCCTCTAAAATGAGCATTTTTATCAGGCTCCTGGGTGAATGTTCAGTAATATCTCTTTTAGGGCAAAGAATTAGTCATTTACCTGGTCTTTAATGTAAAATATCTCAAAATAAACAAAGGAGGCTGAGAAAAATGTTAATTTTCAGTGGAAATTTCAGACGGCACTTAGAGGTTTTTGCATCTGAACTCTTTGTTTGAGAAAACTCATCATAAAATGCAATATTTAAGGTAACGTTAATGGGCTCTATGCACAGCTAGAGTTTTAAAGCCAATAATAAACTTCCGGTGAAAGCTTTTATGCGACTATTTTCAATTTTAAAAGGTTGTTTTTACAGCATTGATGTTGTGATGTAATTACAATACATTCAGTTAAACAGACTTAAGCATTAATTTAGTTGTTCAAGTGTAAAAAGGGATGAAAGACTGTTGTAACCACTAGCGCCGTCAGGAACAGCAGGCTAGCGCAGAAATTCAATTGAAAATACAGGTGTAAAATAAACTGTCATATTTTAAAGACATGGCGGGGGGGAAATTGATTTTAATGCAGTGTTTCTTGTCCGATCTGAGACCCACTTCATATCGTATATCTAACAGGCAGTGAAAATTACTGATTTCTAAAGAAATCAGATCTTAAACTTGACAATTTTGTAATGGAAAGACAAAAGCCCTTGGGCTGCCTGGCTGAAAATTAAAAGTCTGTGTGCATATAGCCCATTAATCAACAAGTGTGGTGATTAAAGGTATTTTTTTTTACCCTACTCACCTACAATGTCTTAAAATGTTGTAAAGTCATCTGCTGCAAAAGACCTATAAGCTATACCTGTTCAAATGTTTGACATTCGTGTTATATTAATCAAAATTTTCTAAAAATGTATCTTCTCGGTTACCTTTTCAAACGCCCGCCCTTTTTCTAGGTTGTTGCTAGATCAGATACAGCTGCGGCCGGAAGTTAACGAGAATTAATTATATTATTTATTCAATACCCACTATTTGTATTTTATTAACATCTACCCCAACCCCAACCCTAAACTCAACCGTCACAATCATTTAAAAACAGTAGTTTTACCGAGTATTATTTATGTTATTTATTAAATTACCTAATAGACTGTATTTTTAACGTCTACCCCTGCCCTAACTTTAAACCCAACCATTACAATACTGTAAAAATATTAATTATTATTATACAGAGTCACAACAATGATGCTATATTGACGTGCGTATCCGCAGCTGTATCTCTTATAGATTTCACCTCCCTTTTTTTCTAGAGTTTTCACTCCGTTGCTGTGGACACCAGCGAAGCGTCTTGTGCGCAAGGCATGACGGTCTGAAATAAAATGCAGGAATACATTGCGGCGAGACTTGAGCAGAGCGGACAAATCACAGAACCGGGCTTGGCAGCGCCAACCAATGGCAGACAAGAGCGGGAGGGGCCAACGACATTTGCACACCTACATTACTTTTGGTCAAGCACTCAGCGGGAGCATCACAGGCGCTGCGAGTGAGTCGCTGTTTTCTCCGTGTCAAGAAATCTACATAAAAATAAGGTAAAAATGTGTTTATTATTATTTTATTGATGTTTGTACTTCACAATAGTGTGTAAAACAGAATATCTGATGTTTTTCATTCCGTTCAGAGTAAGCAATGGTGCACCTAGTTGGCTGTACACCTACATTTCAGCAACTGAATTAAAAATAAATTAAATAATCATTGAATAACCTTCAGAACATTAGTATAATGACGTTAAATAGTGTTTATTCACATATAAAATTTATTTAATTATTCTAAAAATATCCACAACGCCATTCATTTATATTTTATTAATTAAAATAGGCATCTCAAATTGAATTTGATGATTGTTGGTTTAATTAATTATAATTGATTAAAACTTACACGATCATCATGTCCAAAATAAAGTATAAGTTTGCTGAAATAATCAGTGGTGCTGAGTACAGCCTTTGGTTCAGGTGTCCATGGCAACAGTAACCTGGCAAAGTATGCCACGTGATGTTATGCAATGATAGATGGAATAAAGGCTGTGAAGCATCTCATGTGCTGATATTATGTAAGATCCATCCGCCCTGACTCTGACGCCTGGCCATCTTTATTACCAGTTTCACCACCATCATCACAGTCAGCAGATGCTCGAGGGCTGTGCACTGGGCAGGGCAGACAGCAGGATGGGCACTCAGTAGGGCGCGTCAGAGGGTGTAGCTCAGATTGAGAGCAGTTTAACTCCTTCTTTCCTCCTTATGTGTCTACAGAAGCATCATGTCGGACAGGAAGGCAGTGATCAAGAATGCTGACATGTCTGAGGAGATGCAGCAGGATGCTGTGGAGTGCGCAACACAGGCGCTGGAGAAGTACAACATCGAGAAGGACATCGCCGCATATATCAAGAAGGTAAACGCATGGTTTGTTTGGTTATTTCAAGTATTGGAATGCAATGAAAAAACATTTTTAAAAACATGATTGAATGAATTGAATTGATTGAATTTGCTATTGCGTAAAAATAGTAATTTCATCTTAATAAAGATGCAGTGTTTATTATTAATATATGTTTGTCTTTTAATTAAAAAAAAAAAGAAATTGGTTTAAAAGGCAGATTTTTTGGGTTACATTTTCCTATAAATTTTTTTTTAGTCAGAATAATATTAATTTTGCTACTGAATTTGTTTGTTAACCTTAAATTTGGAACCTTTTTATTTTTAATGTTATTATCTTTAATTTTTTTTTTAGCATTTATTTTTAAATTTAGAAGTAAACTTTTTTTATGCTTCAGCAATAAAAGATAATATATTATTTTGCATAAAAATAGTTACTTCATCTTAAGATCATAATACACAGTACTGCAGTGTTAATTATAAATTGTTTATATTTCAATAAAATTAAGAAAAAAAAAAAAAAATATATATATATATTCTTTTTTTTTTTAAGGGCAATCTTTAGGGTTACACTTTCGTTTTTTTTTTTCCGGTCAGAAAAAAAAAACTATTGGAAAATACTTTCATCAAGATTAAAAATTAGCTACTATATATATATATATATATATATATATATATATATATATATATATATATATTTATTTATTTATTTATTTATTTATTTATTTATTTATTTATTTATTTATTTATTTATTTATTTATTTATTTATTTATTTATTTATTTATTTATTTATTTTATTTATTTTTTTTTTATTATTCAAATTTAAACAGTAAAGTTTTAGTTAAAAAAAAATACTTAAAGGCAATAATCTGCTAACTGTCTTAGGCTACGTGTACACTAATCCAGATAAATTTGAAAATTGTGCTTTCGTCTTAAAACTTTTCAATATTCACATTATTTATAATTCTTACCGAAAAATTGGTCATGCACACTAAAACAACTGAAAACGCTTTCATTCATGTACTGCACAGACATGAGATGCTTTTGCCCGCATCGTATTCGGCTGCCATTTATTTACTTTCCGTCTCTTTGAAACATCAAAGCAAAATGTGCAAAAACAGTTGACTGAACAACAGCTCTTAGTAAACATTCCCTGTGCTTTATAGAAAAGCAATACAAATCATCTACGAGCTGACATTAATTTTAAATAATACCTAAATCACTCTGAAAGGATGATATCAAGTGTTGCTGGACTAAATTGTGGATCTGTCTGTACTGCTTCAGCGGCGTTGCACGCTGCAGAAGTTGGAAATTTCTCAACTTTAAAAGTGCCAACAGAAATAATCAGATCGTTTTATCAGGGTTTAACGCTAAGGATTTTTTTTCTACTGGCCCGATAGTCAATTGAATTACTATTGATTTTTTACTTGCCCTGTCAAAATTTTCACTGGCCTCTTCAAAAAGAAAAAGTCACATTTTAAATAATGTGTTAAAAGCCAAACTTATTATAAATTTATTATACATTTATATTTTTATATAAAGATTGTTGGCTAGAATTATGCACTATAAGCTTAAATTATTGATAGAAATAACCGTTAAAGCGAGACTGCAGTCAGATCATGAAGCAGATCAATGTTGGTCTGCCTTTCCTTTCGAGGAGACGTGTCCGTGCAGAAATAAACAAGACAATAGGCCCAATACAAAATACTACACGATTAAAAATGGAAGAGTTATTAGATTAGTAATTTCTCTCAATTTTCCTTATGAACACTCTAATATTTCAGCATGGTTTTACTTTTGAATTCGGAATTCACATTTACCAGATTGAATGACATCTCATCCTCCTCATCCTCTCTTAGCCTTATATGACGATTACACAACCATAATACACTGTGATATGGGCTGGTTTGTTTAATCGTTTTGCTTTTCCACTACAACCGAACCGCTCCAGAATTTTTTTCAATTAAGTCGAGACCACCTCATTCAGGCAATGTCGGACCAATTGGCCAATGTCAGCATTGGCCCCGGGCCGTTGGGCAGTCCTTCTAGTCGAGCCCAGCTTTATGCAAATATCCGAGCTCAGACAGTAGCCAATTGCATTCTGATTTTATTAGCTCCAACTTCAGACACGCCCTTCAAGCGTTGATGCTGACTTACCGTGTGAATCAGGCGTACAACTGTCAAAATATCTGCTTTACAATGTTGTCCACCATGTTAGCTGAATTCTTCATGTTAGCTTTTTCGAAAGCCCCTATTTACATAGTGCACACTACAACACCAAAACAATATTGTCAAATTTAACCACTTTTTGGACAGCATTTTCGTTTTCTAAAGACGCAGTACCAGTGTGAAATGAAAGCCAAAACGTTAAGAAAAACATGCATTCATAAATGAAAAGGTATTAGTGTGGAGGTGTGCATTTACTAAGATTTATAACGGATTTAAATTTTTTTAGGTTTGTGCTCAAATCAAAACAGCTCATAAATGAAAAATAAACGACCACATAAATATAATTTAGTGTAATTAAATTCCCTTAATATTCAAAGTATGAAATAATATAACGAAGACAGTGTTAATCATAATGAACTGTTTATCTCTTCTCTGATTGGTGTTTATTGGCATGAGGGCGGGATCAATCCGCCACTCGCATGTGATTCGTCAATAGTAAATGGCATCTCCATCGTTTCCTTTTGCAGGAATTCGACAAAAAGTACAACCCCACCTGGCATTGCATCGTGGGAAGGAACTTTGGCAGCTACGTGACTCACGAGACCAAGCATTTCATTTACTTCTACCTGGGTCAGGTGGCCATCCTGCTCTTCAAATCAGGCTGAGCGATTCATTTACACCAAGCAGAATTAATGAACTGACTGTACTGACGAGGCTCACCATTCCTGATCCGGGACCTGCCTTCTCTCGGCTGCTTCTCCTTTCTTTTTGATTATAGTTTCTAAAAATGGCCGTGTGAGAGGGAAATGCCGTAAAGAAACACTTGTATTTATTTTTGTTTTCTATCCAGTTTGAGCGTCTCATGTCATCTCTTTCGTTTTTTAATTAAAGCTAAATGGTTTGGCTGGAGTTCATGTCTGGAGGTGTATGATGGACTGCTGCTGCTCAGTGGAGGTTTCCCATTTTTGTTTAATAATTAGGAAACGTTTTCGGAGAAGAAAAATAGATCAGTAAATTATTAATATTGGTTACAATTGTCATCCTCTACTTGATTACATTCCTCAATGGTCAACGTTTTCTTTTTTTTTACTGTGGATCTGATAAAGTCTAGTTTATATTAAACAAATTTGAGTCAAATTAGATTGTTTTGTGCATCTCATCACACATAAGCAACAATAACACGAGCATCTAATACATTATGAATATTAAACAATATAAAAATCTCCATCTTACACAACACTAGTGTAAGCTCTCGTCTGTAAACCTAAAAATACCCACTGAAGCTCAAAGCTGACGGATTTAGATGTTGTCACTGTGCATAAATTAGGACTATTTTAAGCTGCCTGCAACTTAAAAGCTGTCGCTTTAAAACCTCTAAGCATATTTTACATTCCTCAATGGATATATATTAATGACGATTAACAAACCAACTAAAATGTGGACCTGTTTTAAGAACCACACGGTTGCATTTACAAAATGTATTAAATTACACCCCTAATGTTTAAAGCAAACATCAAAACCCTGAATTCACATATTTTCAACATGTACTAACGCATAGCTCTCGATATGGATTCCTGGAGGGCCGCAGTTTTGCTCCAACCCTAATCAAACACAGCTGATGCAACTAATCAAGGTGTTCAAGACTACTAAACACTATTAAGCAGGTTTGAGTTGGAGCTAAAGCATGCAGAGCTGCGGCCCTCCCGGAATAGAGTTTGATAATCTACTTGTTTTTGTAACCACTGCTGGAAAACGCAGTGACTCATTTTATAACCCACTCAAAAAAATCAAGCTTAATACTTCGTACTTTAGAACATGAATATCAAACTGGATTCCTGGAGGGCTGGTGTACTGTATAGTTTAGCTCTAGCTTGCTTCAACAAAAAAGTTTCTGTAAACATAGAGTTTGATTAGCTGGTTCAAGTGTTTAAATGAGGATTGGAAATAAAATATGCAGGACACGGCCCTCCAGGATCAAGTTTGGACACCCCTGCTTTAGAACATTGGTCTCAAACTGGATTCCTGGAGGGCCGCAGCTCTGCAGTTTTGCTTCAACCCTAATCAACCACAGCTGATGCAAATAATCAAGGCGTTCAAGAATACTAAACACTGTTACGCAGGAAGTTTGAGACCACTGCAGTGGATTGATTTAGCTCTGCAACTGTTGTCAAATAAAAGATCACAAAATGCTACTTTAGAATTTGTAGTTTCAACTTAAAATGTGGATGATTTGCTCATAATTAGCTTTAAACTTCTGGGTAATCTTAGGGTAATGCATATTTTATATAATATACAATATATACACATTCACTTCACAAACTTGAATGTATGCAACCTATTGTATGAGATCAAGCTTAAATCTGTGCACTAAAGCATTTAAAACCATTAAAACTTCAAGCTGAATGCCATTTTCACATTCATGTTTAAGAAAAGACAGTTACGGGGTTAAATAACCTGCTTGTTTTTGTAACCAATGGTGGAAAACACAATGACTCATTTTATAACCCACTGAAAAACAATTAAGCTAAAAACTTCATACGTTAGAACAGGGGTTGGAGCTAAACAGAGCTGTGGCCCTCAAAGAATTGAGCTCGAGACCACTGCAGTGAATTGATTTAGCTTAAACCAGGGATGTACAAACTCCGTCCTGGAGGGTCGCTATCCTGCGTAGTTTAACTCAACTAGCTTCAACACACCTGCCTGGAAGGTTCTAGTATACCTAGAAAGAGCTTGATTGGCGGGTTCAGCTGTGTTTAATTGGACTTGCACTAAATTATGTAGGACTGAGTTTGGACTCCCGTCCTAAACTGTTCAGTCAAATTAAAGACTACAAAATGTTACTATGGTATTTGATGTAGTTTCAACCTAAAATGGTGGATAATTTGCTCATAATTAGCTTTAAACGTGTGGTAAATGTTAGATTAATACATATTTTATATACATTCACTTCATAATCTTGAATGTATGCAACCTATCAAAGACCAAACTTAAACCTGTGCTCTGAAAACCACCAAAGCTTGAACATCATTTTCACATTCATGCTCAAGACAGACAGCCAAGGGGTTCAATAATCTACTTGTTTTTGTAACCATTGCTGGAAAACACAATCACTCATTTTATTTAAAAAAAAAAAAAAAAAAAAAAAAAGGCTAAATACTTCATACTTCAGAACAGGGGTCTTAAACTGGATTCCTGGAGGGCTGCAGCTCTGCAGAGTTACTTTAATCCTAATCAAACTCAGCTGATGTAGCTAATCAAGGTGTTCAAGACTACTAGACACTTAACTAAACTGAGCTGCGGCCCTCCAGGAATTGAGTTTGAGACCCCTGCTTTAGAATATTTATTAACAAAATGAATGATTAGCGATCTAAAAACAGATTCATGAAATAATTCTCCACCTCCAGCCTTCAACATGAGAAAACGACAACAAGAAACAAAGCAGCACAGAAACGGATCTGGGTTGACGTTTTATTAGCATTTTAGAAAACCAGTTTGTGTGGGTAGACTCCATTAGACAGGGAGAACATGGAGCGCAGGTAACCCCTGAGCTGAGGAACCTTCTTGATCAGAGGAAGCAGCTGAGAGTCCACTGCTTTCTGGTCTGCCTTGCGCTGCTCCGTCAACTGGTACTTCTGCAAACCACAGAAACACACAACATTAGGGGGGAAAATAAAAACAACCAGTAGCCATATTTCCATCAACATTTCTATGGGTTTTTGAAAAGTCTCAAAAAAAAGTGTAGATGTTCACTCACTATTAAATGGCCATTAAAAAATACGTTAAGTTACAAGTACTATTTTTAACTGATTGGGTGCATTTAGGTGTGCTAAAAATCATTTAATGAATAAATGACAGTATGCGGAGCAAGAAGAAGTCATGCGATTGTGTTTTTTCAAAGAGTTCAGCAACAGTACTAGTTTAAGTACTAAATCTCAGAATAAACTGACTATATTCATGGCTGTTTATTTGCACAGATTCTGCATGATACCTAAACCCAACTATAACCCTAACTATTAATAAGCAGTGTGAAGTTTGGAGCAACAGAAGGAGTTTGAGCTGAAAGTCTTAATCATTGGTTTGTCAATAGTGAGAATTGGTGCTGCACAATAAATCGTTTAAGCATCTATAATAAGTGATAGTTATGGTAATTTATTAAATATTAAAATATAAAGAAATAACATTAGTATTTTAAAACAATTTCTACAATAATGACCATGTTATTTTATGCTTGATTGTTCAAGTTCTGTACCTGAATACTATTAGACCAGTGTTTCTCAACCATGTTCCCGGAGGATCACCAGCACTGCATGTTTTGGATGTCTCCTTTGTCACACTCATTAGTCTTTCAGTCTCTACTAATAAGCTAATGATCTAAATCAGGGGTGCTTGGTTACGGAGACATGGGAAAACGTGCAGTGCTGGTGATCCTCCAGAAACATGGTTGAGAAACACTGTATTAGACTCCAGAAAACCATATTTAACATCTTTGCTCTGTTGAATTTATATATGCTTGTAATTTAATATTTATTCATTTTCCTTTAGCTTGGTCCCTTTATTTATCAGGGGGGGGGGGGGTCGCCAACTGTGTATTGGGTGTTTCCCAGTGCTGGGTTGCAGCTGGAAGGGCATCCGCTACATAAAACATTCGTAATTTAATACATTTCATGCAAAGCACTGTATAGAACAATAATTTATCCCAATCTATATAAATTAAAGAAGCCTTACTAATAGAGCCATTCAATTCATCTGGTGACATTATTCATAATCACAACAAAATATATATATATAAATATATATATATATATATATATATATATATATATATATATATATTTTTTTTTTTTTGTGATTATGAATAATGTCACCAGATGAATTGAATGGCTATATAATAAAATAATATATATATGGCAGATATCTGGAGGTTATCAACTATGTTTGCTTATAATAATTGTTTAAAGCCATTAGTTACTAGTTGATCAGTTTTAAGTTATTAGTAAGTAATGAAATTATGGTAATAACTAACATTTTCGCGCTGCACTAGTGAGAATTGTACATTAAAATAAATGGTGACCCATAAAAGAAGTAAATAAATGAGCTATCTGACCTCCTTCTCGGTGTCGAAGATCTCTCCCTCCTGGTGCTTGGGTTTCCTCAGCTTCTTCTTCTTGAAGTAAGAGTCGGTCAGTGTTCTGGGGATCTTCATGCCAGAGATGTCCACTTTGGTGTTTGTGGCGATGCAGAACTTCTGGTGAGCTCTACGCAGAGGGACGCGGTTGATAGCCAGAGGACCTGAGAGAGACACACCAGAGCACAATCAATTATTCAACACCGCAAAACTGCAACAAAACCCCAGCATGGCTGAATGATACTGGGGAAACTCACTGAAGGAGACTTTACCTTACTGATAAGCAAAATATACAGGCAGTTGTGATATGGAAAGCCTTCATGTAGGAACAATTATACACGAGATTCGAGTTAGAGAAAGAAACATTTACTGCAATATGAGTCTTTAACAGGTCACATTTACACTGTTACATTGAGTATGGGTGCAATATTTAAAGTCTTATATTATCATTAGTTTAAGGTTAGAGTTGTGTTTATGGAGTTAAACTGCAACAAAATCCCAGTATGGCTGCATGATACTGGAGAACAACACTGACAGGATGACTTTTCCTTTCTGACGTAGAAATTAAACAGACATTTTTACCAGACAATTATTTTCCTCTATTTTTATAGGGATTTTACAATGTAGATTGTGTTAAAGCAGCTTAACATTGACGTTCTAGTAAATTGAAACAGTGCCAGTGCAGTTTTCAGAGTTGAAGTTCAGTTCAGTGTGGTTTAATATTCAATACTGAGAGTCCAAACACTGAAGAGCATTCATTGAGCAAGAATCATCATCAATTGGAGTTCTTCACAGGGCTTTACACTGTGACTAATGCAGCATAGAGTATGGGTGTGATATTAAGTCATACACTATCGTCATTATTATTAAGGTAAGAGCAGAGTCAGAGTTAAATTATAAATTAGGATTCTCCAGAAGACATCTCAAATAAGCCAATAAGATTGTTGTCTAAATTAAGACTTATTAACCTACAAGGGCCTTAATTCTCAATTTATTTATCAACTTAATACTT